ATCAAGATCTCGAATCCTCCCCCGAAGATCTCGAATCTCCCCCCTACCCCCCCCCCCCCCCCCCCCCCCCCAACCCCCCCCCCCCCCCCCCCCAAACCCCCCCCCCCCCCCCCCCCCCCCCCCCCCCCCCGGCTTTTTTGGCTTTTATCATGATTCTCAGTTCCATCACCGCAGATGGATCTCGCCTGTTTTCCATTGAATGGGTCCATACAGCATGTATTCCTTTGGTCTGCCTACTTTGGCTCAAAATGTGTGTAACTTACTCATGCCCTCGCTTGTATTGAGAGTTGATTTGCATGGCTGGGTAGTGTCCTACTTTTGTCTCTTGCCTTGGGGATGGCCACTGGAATTGAATACAGCTGCTTGTCCAAGTCTTTGTGAGCACGTGCACTCGGTTCTCAAGGGTAAGTCCCTGGGACCAGACACTGCGTGGTGCAGTAAGTGTGCATGTCGCTTTATGAAACCGCGTTCTTCAAGTCAGTTCCAACTCGGGCCACAGCCTTGTGCGTTGGGACAGAACTCTACACGTAGGGGTTTCCCACCTCTGGTTTCGAAAGCACATTGCGAGACCTCCAAAGTGCCTCTGTCTCAACTCAAAGCACCAACCTTTCAGGAACCAGCCCAACACTTAACCACTTGCATCACCAGTTCTTTAGAAACGGCTAGACAATGAGCCAAAATGGCTGTAAGATCTTCTACACCCCACACTTCGAGTGTTTTTTTGTTTTTATAGTTGGTGACTTTTTTCCCCCAGTGGGATTGTTTTATTTTATTTTATTATGTTTTTAATCATTTTAATGGGGGCTCGTACAGTTCTTATCACAGTTGTTCTATATCCTTAATAACCTAGATGTTATCAGACACTGTCATTTTAGCAATGTCTGGTGAATGTGTAGGAGTGTGTCATGGGGTTAACATTCCCTGATAACCAGCAGCAACGGGGAGCATTCCCCATGGGTCCTTTCAAATGTGTGTGTGAACGGGGGCGATTTTCATTAACCAATGCACCGCTGGGGCTCTGGCCACCACCTCAACAGCGTTGTTAGCTGCTATGAGCCGCCCAACTCATGGTGACCCCAGGCTCCTCAGAAAGAAATGCTGCCTGGTGGAGACAGACAGCTCCACGCTAGGAGGGTCTGCCGGGGTTTCTTGGGCTGTTTTTGGAAGTAGATTGTGGCGTGTCTCTTGCAGCAGTCATATGATCCGTGAGAAACCTGAGACTCGGGTTCGATAACGCGCTTGAGTGCACACTACTCAGATGGGAACCCTGCCTGAACGCTAGCTCAGACTGAACGAGGGCTCACACCGTCACCGCGCTCTTCCCACTGCACCACACACCTGCCTCTCTGCCAAGGTCAAATAACTGGGCAGTTAGTAATGCAACCAGATCCCGGCAGGACAACTCCAGCAAGGAAACAGGAAGCGGCCAGTTCCAACAGGGGTCTCAGGGTCTTTCTGTTTTTCACGAGATAGCAGATTAGCATCCTGAAGGCTTTTTGTTTTTGCAGAAATCCTGTAATCTATACACCAGACCAGCTCCTGCTGAGTCAGCTCCGACTCAGGCAATCCCACTTTGCCCCAGTAGAATTGTGTTACATGGGGCTCACATGCAGTGCCTACGCACCAGCTCTCTACCTCCCGACCTCCCTACACTGCTTCAACAGTAACCACAGGAACACTTAGTGAACGGATGAACCTGAGGGGATCTTCCCCATGATCAGAGATTTGTGCACGGCCCCTAAAATGCTTACCTAATCTGTTGAGTAACTTAATGATTTGATCCTTATAGTTCTTTCCCCAAGTTTTATTGACATAATTCACTTACCATAAATTTCAATGTTTTCAATATGTTTAAAAGAGTTGTGCCATCGATTCTAGAATATTTTCTTCATTCCTATACCCATTATTAGTAGTACCCACCCCAAAAAATGTCAAAATCCTCCCCTGCCATAACCCAAAAGAACTAGTCATCTCTAGTTCTTCAAAGAGCATACCATAATTCTTATGAAACCCTGGATGGGTGTGATAGTTAGGTTTATTGTGCCAGCCAGGCCAATAGGAACATGTGGGATTCATCAGGTTGCAGTTTGATTGGAGGGCAAAGAGATAAATGGCTCTCTGGTGATCAGAACGCGCTGGGCATGCTACTGCTTTAGCTAGTTCTCTGCCTCAACCTGTGAACTACACCACCTGTGGACCAAGCCAGCCCGTGGATCCTATTGCTAGAGCTTGAGGCTCCTTCGAGACCTGCTTCACCATGATGCTGGTGTGTACGTCACAAGCTTGAGGCTGGTGGATCCTGTCACCTTACATTGCTTGCATTTGATATCCCATCTGGGCCTGCTTCGCTAAATTCTGGAGCTACTGACTGTTGGTGAGCTACCTTGCTATTTGCTGCCTGTGGGCAGACTCTGCTTGCCTTGTCTGAGGGAGGACTCTGATGTCTGCCTCCTTGACTTTGGATTGGGCAGCCCACATGAATTGAAGGACTTCCAGTATATTAACGGTTCTGTGGAAGTGAGTTTAACTGAACCCTCTGTACTGCTGTGTGGACTAATTAGCTGTTATATTCCTTTTCACTGTATAAACCTATATATATAAGTTCCCTGGTTTTGTTGCTCTACAGCAGTGGTTTGCAACCTCCTAATGCCATGACCCTTTAATACAGTTCCTCATGTTGTGGTGACCCCCAACCATAAAATTAATTTCGTTGCTACTTCATGACTGTAATTATGCTACTGTTATGTGTTGGCCAACCCCTATGAAAGGGTTGTTGGAAGCGATCCAAATTGGTGGGGAGGTGGGTGTGGGAGACCTGGTAGGGCAGGATCAGGGGGAACGTAACAAAGAGGAAGTGCTGAAATCCT